AGATGAGGTCTCGCTGCCAGGTGGGTCTCGAACCTGCGGGCTCAGGCAATCCACTCACCTCAGCCTCCCAAAGGCACGGGATTACAGGCTGAGCCACCGAGCCCGGCTGTTTTTGTTTTTTTTTGAAAATGCTTTTATTATTAAAAGGTAGTTTTGTTGGGTTCACAGTTCTTCATTGACTGTTCTTATCTGTTGTCATGCTGAAGATATGTTCCGTGTCTTCTAACTCCTTTATTGCCATGGGAAAGTCAATTGTTAGTCTAATTGTGGTAACTTTGTGGTCTGGGTTTTTTTCCAGATGCTTTAAAGAGTGTCTTTTTGTCTTTGGTATTCTGCAGTTTCACTATAAAGTGCCTAGGTGTGGCTTTATTCTAGTTTTTCCACTTTGGTTATATGGGTATACACTATAGCGATATATGCTGTATCTGTGGATTCATACCTGTTATTAGTTCTGGAACATTTGTAGCTGTTATCTCTTTGGATATTTTCTCTCATTGTCTGTATTCCCTTTTTTCTGGGACTCTGTATATACTAGACCTCACCATTCTAGCCCCCATTGCTCATAATTTTTTCATATTTTTCAACTCTGTATCTTTGTCTGCTGTTCACTTAGCAACTTCTCCAATCTATCTTACAGTTTATTCATTGTCTCTTAATCCATGTCTTAAATGTTATTTACCCCATCCACTCAGTTTTTCAGTTTTATAATTATAGTTCTTATTTCTAAAAGCTCTATTTGTCATTTTTGCTTGATTATTAAAATATCCATTTTAATGGAAAATAACATGTATTGGTAACGATGTGAAGAAATTGGAACTCTTGTGCACTGTTGATGGGAATGAAAATGGCGCAGCCTCTATGGAAAATAATATGGCAGTTCCTCAAAAAAAATTAAAAATAGAGTCACCATATGATCCAGCAATTCCATTCCTGGGCATATACCCAAAAGAATTAAAAATGGGATCTCAAAGAGACACTTGCACTCCCATGTTCACAGCAGCATTATTCACAATAGCCAAAAGATAGAAGTAACCTGAATGTCCACCAGTGGATGAATAGAAAAACAAAATGTTATATACACAATAGACTATTATTCAGTCTTAAAAAGGAAAGAAATTCTGACACACACTACAACGTGGATGAATTTTGAAGATACTGTGCTAAGTGACATGGGCCAGGCACAAAAAGACAACAACTATATGATTCCATTTATGTGAAGTATCTAGAGTAATTCAATTCATAGAGACAGAAAGTAATAGTGGTTGCCGGAGACTGGGGTCAGGGAGAAATGGGAGTCATTGTTTCATGGGTACAGAATTTCAGTTCTGGAGATGAATGGTGGTGATGGCTACACAAAAGTGTGAATGAATGTACGTAATGTCACTGAACTATACACTTAAAAATGTTGATGGTAACTTGTTACGAAACTACCTTTCAATAATAAAGGCATTTTCAAAAAAACAAAGTTTGCCACGAACAACAAACCTTCTCTAAAGGAACATCTACATGAATGTTCAGAAGAAAAATGGGCCGGGCTCGGTGGCTCAGCCTGTAATCCCACACTTTGGGAGGCCGAGGTGAGTGAATTGCCTGAGCCCACGGGTTCGAGACCCACCTGGGCAACTTGGCGAGACCTCATCTCTACAATAAATCAAAAAATTAGCCAGGCGTGGTAGCGCGCGTCTGTAGTTCCAGCTACTTGGAAGGCTGAGGTGGAAGGATCGCCGGAGCCCAGCAGGTTGAGGCTGCGGTGGCCGGGAGTGGCCACTACACTCCAATCTGGGCGACAGAGTGAGACTCCAACTCAAAAAAAAAGAAGAAAAATGATCCTAAAAGGAAGAACAGAGATGCAAGAAAAATAGTGAAAACTGGAGAGAAAGCTAAACAAACTTTCTATTTTACCACAATTAAAAATAAGTTTAAAATGTGGAGATAGTATTCATTATTTACTTATTTACATATTTCATAAATTATCATATTGGAGGCCTATAGTGTGACCGTTTATAGCATGAACTCTCTATTCAAAATATTCATTTTCAACTAACCAGTTTGTAACCTCAGGCAAGGTACTTAACGTCATTGTGCCTTAGTTGTTTTTATCCATAAAATGAGGATAAGCATAATACCTATCTTGCGGGTTTGTGTGAGTATTAAATGAATCAGTATGTGATGAAGCACTTACAATATTGTCTGGCATCGAAATATTCCCTTAGTATTTGTTATTATTATAATTGTTGATATTGTGACATCTGAAGTCCTTGGGGTTCTAAATCCGCTTTAAAAAAATGATTCCCATTTATGGTATTTTAAATTGTTTACATCTCTGATCTTTTGTTGTGAGCTCATACTTGGAGGATCTTTGTCTGGGAAACTTGAGTCTTTAAATTTGGGATATTTTCCTTCAGAGCATCTGCTATCTGAGACTACATTTGCCCCCTTCAATTGTCTCTGCTTCAGGTGGGAGTTCAGGTTTGGTTCCTCTACCTGTAGTGGGTCCAGATCTTGACCCAAGATTTTAGTTTATGACTCCCAGATCACTACCTTAGTTTCAGCTAAGGGTTCTAATAGTTTTGTTTCATTTTATTTTGCTTTTCTGGTTTCATTCTTGGCCCATGCGGATTTCCATTATTTCCTAAGAACCTACTATGATATGAACAAGTATATTTTATCTAAGATCTGACTGAACTATAGCAAGAGGATCCTCAGAAAATCTGAACTTCCGTATACTTACTAGAGAAGTCCATGGGACTTAATTCTTCAACCATGTTGAGGGCAGGGACTTATTTATGCTTATATCCTCAGAACCTGGCTTGGGTACTCATATCTGGCAGGTGACACATTTTTTTTTCTTTTTCAGTGAATGAAAGAAACCATATTGAAGGCTCTCCAGGTAGAAAGTTAGGACCCAGAGGTGTAATATCTCTTCCCAACCACTTGGGGAGCCTTGATTGAATGTCACCCTTGGCTGCCTAACTTCTCTCTCTCCCAAGTCATAGGTTATCTCTGGCTCATGGCTAATGGCAGTCAGGGAGGGAGGGAAACGGGCAAAGGAGAAGGCCCTGTGGGGAAATGTGACTTGCTCACCCAGCTTCCCCAGTCTACAGCTCAGTAAATCTGGTCTCCATGTTTCTCCCCCAACACCCCCAATTGCACATCTCTACTTTGAGAAACAATCGCCTCCCCTGGAGTTTTTTCTTCCCAGGCCAAATATTAAAGGCCCAATAGCCCTAGCTCAGTTCTTATCAAGCAGCCCTGTCAGCCTATGCCAAAGATTTCACACACCTGTTTAATAATATTGGCCATGGGTGCCACGATAACAACAACAGTAGACAACAGTGGTCGCTCCAACAGTAGGACAGTGCCTTTTACATTACAACCGACTTCTTGCTCCAGTGGGCTCGGGGATGGGTGGAGAAGGAGAGGGCTGGCTCAGTCCCTTTCCTTCTCCACTCCAGCCCGCCGTGACCTGGGCTTTCTCGACAGAGACAGACGGCTTCCATTCAGTAGTGTAGGAAAGTTCCTTCTAGGCTTAGCAGTTCTTCTGAGACCTCACCCCACTGCCTAGGCTGGAAAGCAGTGGCACGCTCAGAGACACCCCAGTGTCGACCTGCTGGGCTCATTCAGTGGGCAGCATCTCTCCCCGGGATGCTGGAGGCACCAGACGGTGGTTGAGCTAGGGCTGCTGACTTCCTGTGGGTGCCTCTGGGCTGTGGGAGTCTCTTATAGGAATGGGGGTCCTTTGCTTCTCCAGTAAATGTGAGGTTATTGGTAGAGAGTTGTGCCAGAGGGGGTTCTCGCTCTGTGCCTGACCTCAGGGGGCATCCCGGGTGGGCAGGGCAGCAGGGAAGCAACTCCCAGCACTGCAGAGAGGCAGCAGCATCACAGCTCAGCCTAGAATAAAAGAGATAGATGAAGAGAAAGTCAGATGATTTGAAACTGGGCAAAGTGGTGACATGGACAAAATTCATCTTCCTTTTTCTGAAGCTCTTTGTTTCCCTCCCTACTCCCTAGGCGCCAGGAAGTCTCATAAGCCTTTCCATCCCTTCCTTATCAGAATCTTCTCTCTGGAAAGGCTCTGATAGTCTCATTCTGTCAGAAAATAGAGAATGATAAGCTTCGGTGTGTTCCATTCCCTAAGGTATTTGCATTTAGCAGGAATCTCTGACCTAAGGAATTTCAGCCTTAGTGGTGGAATCTCTGGCTGTCCCTTGCTGGGAGGGAAAATTATTTGGGATGTAAAAGGTTGTCAGAGCCATTTAAATCAAACCTATGGATGGACTGGTACCTCCAGGGTAAAAGAAGGGAGGGAGGGCACAGTGGGTAGGGCAAACATGCTCACCTTCCGGACAGTGTAGATCCAGTTGAGATAGGCTGTGACCTTGGTGTACACTCCTGGGGTACTGGGACCTCCGCAGCCATAGCCCCAGCTAACAATGCCCACCACCTGCCACTGGCCAGATTGGTACATCAGAGGCCCACCGCTGTCACCCTGTGAGAGGCCAGAACAGGGGCTGCTGGGAGGGCAGGCCAGGGGGTGAGTCTCTCCCTTCACCCCTCCCTGAACTGGCCCGTCTGTTCTGTACTCACCAGTGTTCTCTGCTGTTCCACACCCACCCCCTTTGATCATTCTGTTCCTGCACCCTGGAATCCTCTTCCCTTCTGTGACAAAAGGGTCTGTGGTCAAGTAAGTTGTGGATTTACCGTTAACCCTCACTCAGAACAAAGCAACAAGAAAATGTAAGCTAGTGGAAAGGCACTTATTTGGGGTATGCTTACCTACAGCCCCTGAGGCTTCCGCCATCCAAACCCAGTGACACTATAACCTAATTGCCTGTTTATGCACCTACCCCACAATCATGAGCTCCCTGAGTGCAGATACTGCACCCAAAGCTCACTGTGCTTGTGGCACACAATAGATGACTAAGCGATACCTTTTTTTTTTTAGTTGGAGTCTCACTCCGTTGCCCAGGCTGGAGTGCAGTAGCACGCTTACAGCCACCCCAGTGTCGACCTGCTGGGTTCTGATGATCCTTCCACCTCAGTCTTCCAAGTAGCCGGAACTACAGGTGTGTGCTACCATGCCTGGCTAATTTTTTTTTTTTTTAATTGTAGAGACAGATCTTGCCAAGTTGCCTGGGCTGGTCTCCAACCTGTGGCCTCAGGCAATCCACTCACCTCAGCCTCCCAAAGAGCTGGGATCACAGGCTGAGCCACTGAGTCCGGCCTTTATTTATACATTTTTTTAGTTGGAGTCTCACTCCACCGCCTAGGCTGGAAAGCAGTGGCACGCTCAGAGACACCCCAATGTCGACCTGCTGGGCTCAGGCGATCCTTCCGCATCAGTCTTCCAAATAGCCGGAGCTACAGGCCTGCACTAACATGCCCAGCTAATTTTTGATATATTGTAGAGACTAGGTCTCACCAAATTGCTCGGACTGGACTCAAACCCCTGCGCTCAAGCAGTCCTCTCGCCTCGGCCTCCCAAAGTGCTGGGATTACAGGCTTGAGCCACCGTGCCCGGCCAAGCGATACCTTTTGAATGAAGGAATCTAATGACAGAAAATGGAAGTGAGAGTAGGGTTAGAAGTTTTCAAGAAAATGAGTCAGAAGGTGCTATGGAGGTGTGGGGGAGTGAGGTGTGGGGGAGTGTTAAGCAGTCCTGATGGCCAGTGAGGATGGGGTGAGGTGACAGACACCAGGATGTGCCTGTTTTTTTTTTTTGCTTTAAAAACAAAAACAAAAACGTAGTTCAGCTTATGGATAGTCACAGAGAGAACAGACCTGGGGTTCCTGCCTTCAAGGGGCTCATAAACTGGTAGATGATAAGTGAGGGTGGGAGCGGGGAGGGCGTGCAATGTCATTTTTGTATGTGAAATGGACATCTGAAATCTTTCTGCTTGCCTGCACCCATCCACCCACCTGCCATCTATCCACTCTTATATCTTTCTTTCCTTCCCTCCCCCTCTCCCATCAACACACACTGAGTGCTCATCACGTGCAAGGCTTCTGTAAGGCATTCAGCCCCTGGGTTTTCTCCCTTCTCTAGGACCTACATTCCCATTCATAAAACTCCCCATGACCTTTGGAGGCCCCACCTGGCAGGTGTCCACTCCCCCTTCTGGGACGCCAGCACACAGCATCTTCTCAGTGACTTCTCCCTGGTATGCATCCTCGGCATTGCAGCGTGTGCTGTCAATGACTTGGACTGTCGCCTGCCGCAGTATGTCAGACATCTTCCCTGGGAGGTTGAAAACACATATTCCCATTCTTGTCTTCTGCCCCTCATTCCTGGGTCGCTAAACCACTTTGCTTTTTGCCTGGCATTTGGTGCTTAGCAAACCCATCGTCCAGGAGGTTTTTGTTTTTTGGTGGTGGTGGGGAAGGTCTCACTCTGTCACTCAGGCTGAGGTGCAATGCCCCAATCACAGCTCACTGCAGCCTTGACCTCCTGGGCTCAGGTGATCCTTCTGCCTCAGCCTCCCAAGTAGCTGAGACTACAAGCATGCACCACCACACCCAGCTAATTTTTTGACTTTTTTGGGGGGGGGGATGAGGTCTTGCAATGTTACCTAGGCTGGTCTTGAACTCCTGGGCTCAAGCAGTCCTTTTTCTTCGGCCTTCCAAAGTGCTGGGATTACAGACATGAGCCACCTACCTGGCCTATGATGGGCTTTTCTGAAGGAGTTGCTCCTGCATACGAGGACGTCTCCTGCCCTGTGATTCTGAGCCCAGGACTTACCTCCACCCTGCTCCGTGAAGCCCCATCCGATGACCCAGAGTGGGGTGGCTGGAGTGAGCTCCTCATCAAAGAAGGGCAGGCAGATGGACCTGACTGTGCCTGCCAGGAGCAGAGAGGAAGAGGAAGATCCTGTATCATTCATGGTTTTCATTATCGGTATTTTATGATGCTTTATGGTTGTGGATATCTTGCTGGTCTGGGAGAGACTGGGTTAGCTAATTCCTACAGATAGTAAACAACTTGCCTATGGTCATACCTTGAATATGCAAACCAACCAGTCCAGAGCCTGTGTCCCCACCACCTTCTTTATCTAACTCGTATACACTGAGCTTTCTTCCCTGCCCTAAATCATCCCAGGGCTAAGTACTGGACAGCTCAGACCATCTCCATAGCCTAGAGAATTGTTCACACTATCTAATCCCAAGCTTGCTCAAATTTGCCTACCGTACCTCACCCAGCCCTTCCTGTGGAAACCATGGATTTTCCCCCTCACTCCTTCTGCCACCTGGTCAACCCATGCTATGCCATGTGCCCCGGCATGGTGAAGTATGTTCCTTTCTCTCAGGGACTATAAGAAATAAACTCTCATTTCAAAGGTAGTTGTCTCTGTGTCTGTCACCTTATCATATCCAATTAAAAGAAATCCCAGGCACAAATCTTGAAATAACCCAGGGTTCACCTGGAAGCTAAGCCCTCTGAAAGATGATCTTTTATTTATTATTTATTTATTTATTTGTCGGAGTCACTCTGTTGCCCAGGCTGGAGTGCAGTGACAGGCTCACGGTCACCGCAGCCTTCCAAGTAGCTAGAACTACAGGCATGCACCACCATGTCCAGTTAATTTTTTTTATTTATTGTAGTGATAAGGTCTCACCTAGTTGCCCAGGCTGGTCTCAAAGCCCTGGACTCAGGCAATCTTCTCACCTCGGCCTCTCAAAGTGCTGGGATTATAAGTTTGAGCCACAGCACCCAGCCAAGATGACCTTTTAAAAAGATCTCTTAGAACTCTAAGAGAGGATGATCCTATGATTCTCACTTGAGGAGCTCCACATGGAGAAGACAGACCTTGGAAGGGTCTCTGGTAGGGGGGTGGTGGGCACGTTAGCTGACAGCTTGAGGGGGGCATCATGGCATTGGTGATGTCAGGCTGATGTAATAATTGGAAACAAATGGGTAAGCTGAGGTCTTGAGAGGAGAAATGATGTGCCAAGGCCACTCAGTGGGCTAATGGCAGAGTGGGCAAGAAACCTGACATGATACTCTGGCTCTGTGCCCAGGTGCCACCTCTCACCTGAGAATGTGAGTGGAAACTGCAGCTTTACGAGAGCAATGTCCTTCTCTTTGGGGTACATGGGGTTGAACCCAACGATGATAATCTTGGCCACAGGCAGGGATGGAAAGCTGCCCAATTTGTCTGTACCAGTCCGCACCTTCCAGCCGGACACATCCATATACTTCCTGTGGGCAGAGGCAGCTGAATTCAGACTTGAGCCAAGCATGTGGAGGCTTTGCCAAAGGCTGGGTCCCCAGGGCCCTGGGAATTGGGGCTCTGGGTATTGCTGCCTTAGGAAGTAGTATGATAGTAGGACAGGTGTGGTGAAGGGGCCATCTGAGAAATCACCTACTAGAAGCCAAATTCTCATTTGTTTTGTTTGTTTTGAGTTGGGGTTTCACTCTGTCACCCAGGCTGGAGTGCAGTGGTGTGATCACAGCTCATTGCAGCCTTGACCTCCTGGGTGCAGGTGATCCTTCTGTCTCAGCCTCCCAAGTAGCTAGAACTACAGGCTAAATTTTAAATTTTATATAGAGATGAGGTCTCACTATGTTGCTCAGGCTGGTCTTGAACACCAGGACTCAAGTGATCCTTCTTCCTTGGCCTCCCAAAGTGCTGGGATTATAGGCATGAGCCACTGTGCCCAGCCTTGGAAGTCAAATTCTAAAAGTGAATTTGATTCTTTTCCTGCAGTGAAACCTACCCAAGGAGGGCTGGGAAGGGACTTGTCCCAGGGCCTGACCTCTTTGTATTGCCTGTGCTCCTTATGTGGTACTTATGTTGGGGTCAATTACGTTACATGCTTATAATTATTCCTTCCTCCCAATGCCAGGTATGGCTTAGCATGCAGAGGAGGTTTTTCCAGGAAAGCATTTATACTTGCCAGACTCTCAAAGAAAGATTAAGAATCCCTGGCCCAGACCATAAGCACCTTGAAGGCAGTGATGGGGTCTAATGCACAGGGCACATCACCTAGTGCTTGATACCAGGTAGGTACTCAACTCATTAGATGTTGCATGAATAAATAAATAGAAGTGAAAGGGGTCTGGGAGTGTCCTTTCCCAGACGTATGGCCAGGCCTCTCTCTGTTAGACTTTTTGCTTATCTTAACTTTCTGGGCATAAAGAGGGAGTGGCAGTGACTCTAGACCCTGGGACCACCTCGTAGAAGACAGGCTAAAAGCAAGTGAGTTATTGGGACTCTAGGAAAACGGGTATGGGGAAGAGGTCACGCTCAATGACCAGCATCCTCTGACCTCCCAAGGTGTAATGAATGGTATCATGGCCAGTGCCTCATTGGGGTGGGCACATTCTGGCAAAGATCCCTAAGGGGGACAGTGAAGAGGGGAGGGTATCAGGAGACAGGGTCCCAAGCTCGCCGGGCTGCCCTGGGCTTGATTCCCTGGGCCTCCTCACCAAGGGCCTTACCTGAAGCAGTGGGCCGCTGTGAGGATCCAATGGGGGTCCAGGATGCTGCCTCCACAGATGTGCTGTTTATCATACTGGATGCTGACCTGCCAAGGCCACGAATCCACAGAGGCCTCCTCCCCGCCCACCACCCGGGGAGTCTTCAGGCTCTCCCCACAGGCTGGACTCAGTCAGAAGGAGAGAGAAAGCAGGAAGTCAGGCTCTTGGGGAATGGGACTGCCTGTCCTTAGGGCCCTCCATCTGCCCTGAGGGTGGAGGAGGACTAGGGCAATTTTGAATTATTCATGGGGAAAGATCGAGTGCCCCAGACCATGGGATTTCCCCAGATCTCCATCTTTCTCCCTCTCACTCTCCTTTGGCTTAGGATGTGTTTAGAGGTTTAGACAGTGAACAAGGGCGTGTCCATTGTGCTGGGAATTCATAATCTTCAAACCAGACTGTGATGCTGTATTACGACAGCTCTGTCCAGGTGGAGTCTCCCCAGCCACTCCCTCTGAGTAACAGTAAACAGACACCCACAAGCTGTTTGAAACCCGAACGTGAGAAGAAAGTTCCAGGAACTGGATCTTCCCATCCAGACTCCCCCTTCTCCCAGTCCCTTCCCTGTGTTAAGGGAGTCTTTCAATCTGGCATTCTGTCTTCCCACTGACCTGGCTTTCACAGCCTGCACTGGAACTCCTGTAAAGCCCTCCAGTCCCATCTTCCACCCAATTCTCTGCCTTCCAATCCTGGCAGCTGCCGCCACAGTGATCATTTAAGGGAGAAAGGCTATCTCCCCTTCCTATGTGTTTGGCACTGTGCTAGGCAGAAACTTTTTAAACACCATCTGATTTCAAACACAGCTTTCTCTGGGCCACCTTGCTCACCCTCTCAAGCCCCCTCAGCATCCCCCTCGTGGGCAAGGTAGTGTTTCCACTTCTCCTCCTGGCAACCTCCTGCTGTCTTCATATAAAGTTTCCACTAGCCGCATTGATCAGCTTGGAGCTTCCTTTTTTTTTTTTTTTGAGTTGGAGTCTCACTCTGTTGCCCAAACTGGAGGGCAGTGGCCACTCCCGGCCACTGCAGCCTCGACCTACTGGGCTCCGGCAATCCTTCTGCCTCAGCCTTCCAAGTAGCTGGAACTACGTCATTCTGTTTCTGATCAAGGAAGCTGCCTCCTCTTGAAAAGCTGCTTCCTTTCTTGTTTATCTAAGTTACTAATTAATTCAAAAAATTTGTATCGAGTGCTTGTCTTGTCTCCAGGCAGTGCTGGGTGCTGGGAGAAGGTGTGCAAGACAGAAAGACAGACATGGACCTGCCCTGCTGGAGCCTACAGATTCATTTTTCAGTGTTTAGCCTGGGCACCACCTCCAGGCCGCCTATTCCCCTGGGATTTTCCTTTTTTGAAATTCCTACAGGTTGCCCTGTGGTACTGTTCAGCCTTTCATTGATGTGCTTTGGTCTTCTTCTTCTCGTGAGACAGAGGCTGGTCAAGGCAGGACCTACCACTTATACTTCTGTGTGCCTTCAGTGCAGAATCTCAAATGATGTGACATTAGCTATCCACACACTAGGTATTATGGGAGGGGTCACACGATATTAGATACAAATCTTAACAGCCAACATGGAAGCATATACACTGCTAAAATCCACAGTCAGCAACGTGATCTTCTTCCTTTTCTCCTAGACTTTCTGGCTTCTGGCTATCCTTCCAGGTCTGGCTCAGTTGTTCTCCACGAATCCGGTAGGATGAGCTGGGCCACAGTGTTTGTTTTCTCTTCTGATCTCCTCTGTCACTCTGAGAAGGGTCCCCTTAGGTCCTCATTGTGCAGTTGCACTAAAGGGCTTTTGGAAAACGAACCTCAGAGAGGTCATATGAATTACTCAAGGACACACTGGAAGTGAATGGGACGGGTGCCCAGGTCTTCTGATCCCCATCCAGCTCTCTCTGCAGCATGTCAGCTATGACTGCTACTCAGTTTGGCACGTCCCACATGTTGTCTTGCACCTCTCGCTTACTCAGTCATAACTCCTGAGGACAGTGGTCAATTCTTTTACTTGTCTGGTATTTTCCACTTCCAACCAGCACCCGACAGAGTTAGATACATTCTAACTGTTGGATGAATATTTGCTCAACTGAATGTGCACAGTCTGATCTTGGGTACCCAAGCTGATTGTGACAAAGGAGGTTATATGGATCCTGACCAGAGGTGGATAGGATGAGGGCCCAGTCCTGCCTTTCCAGTTTTCCTAACTCTCTGCTAAGTCTCTAGTTTCATGGGGCTGTGAGTAGATAGTAGAAGGGAGTTCTTAACATCAACCACTGGAAGGAGCATTGACATACAAGTCCAAGGGTTGGAGAAGTAAGGGCGAACCAAAACTGAAACAGAGTGTGAAAGATTTAGGAGTGAGGATGGAAGTCTTCTTCTCTGCTCCTTGCTGGCCCAGGCCCCAAACCCTCAGAGGCAGGGTATACTCACCAAAGCAGTGCAGGGAAACCAGGGAGCCTGAGAGACAGGTTCTGGAAGAAACATACAGGGCCCTGTGGTTTCAACTTCTCCCTTGGCTGGAAGGCAGGGACTGAGGCCTTCCAGAGCTGTTCATTCAAGGCCCTCCCCCAAACCTGGGAAATCTGGAGCCTGCATAATAAGGACTATATAGAAGTCGATCGCATTGACTGCAATTACACTTTAATTTGATCTGATCGACACCTCCACTGTTGAACACCAACTACATGATGGTCCCTGCCTGCTTCAAAACCCAACCTGGGCTCCTGGCACCTTAGAGGGAAGAGAGAAGAGCCTGGAACAGAGTCTGTTGCACTGCAGACTTTCCAAATGGAAGAAGAATAGGATTTTGATGGAATTTCAGGCAAACGATTACTCTGCTACCAACTCTGGCCTTTTCAAGATTTGCTCTTTGGTGAATAAGCAGCCCTCAGCAACGTCCCTGAATGCCAAGAAGCCAGATTCCTCCCTAAGCCACAGTGCTGCAGTGTGACAGATTTCATCTAGTGCAGGGTGGTGAAGCATATGAATGAGACACTGACAAGGGCCATAGAGTCTCTTCCCTGGAGCGCTGGGAAGGTGAGGTCTTACTCTGGTCTGGGCAAGCGGTGGGGAAGGGTGAAGTGACCTTTGAAATCTTGCCTATTGGGTAATTTATGAGGGAACTTAAGGCAGTAGCAAACACCATTTGGTTTTACTATTCAGATTGATGGAAAGGTCACGTTCTCCGCCCCTCTGCCTTTGAACAAGAGACAACACACATTGTCCAGCTGCCCACTGTATTTTTTAAAAAGTCAACACAGGCCGGGCTCAGTGGCTCAGCCTGTAATCCCAGCACTTTGGGAGACCGAGGCGAGTGGATTGCCTGAGCCCACGAGTTCGAGACCAGCCCGGGCAACTTGGTGAGACCTTGTCTGTACAATAAAATAAAAAATAGCCGGGCATGGTAGCGCACGTCTGTAGTTCCAGCTACTTGGAAGGCTGAGGCAGAAGGATCGCTGGAGCCCAGAAGGTCGATGCTGGGGTAGCCGTCAGCATGTGTGCCACTGCACTCCAGCCTGGGTGAAGGAGTGAGATTCCAACTCAAAAAAAAAAAAAAAGTCAACACACAGAAAACCTCTCAGAAATGTGATTCTATAGCTGTAGGCATGTAATGATCTGCCTGGCTAGGTGTTCTTCCTGTTGTCTGGCTTACATTCCTTTTGCTGCTAACCTGTTCAGGGTGAGTTGGCTGCAGCCCTGAGAGCAGCTTCCATGTGCCAGCCTTTTGCAGGCTTCTCACTTACCCACTCGAGTTCTGCACCTGAAGCTCCTGGCTGTTTTCTGTGATTTTAGCAACATCCACATCCTGGTCTGAGCCAATTTCCACAGCTTTGAAAGTGGGCCTGCTGCTCATATTGGGGGGGGGAGAGAGAGAGTTGTGAGCTGGGGCAGGAAGTTAGAATAAGAGGGTAAGAGTAGTCCCTACTCCCAGGAGAGAAGGTGGCAGAGAACACCTGGTGGGTGGGGAGTGGTGGGGAGTGGAAGTGGTCTTGATCAATGAGGAGGGAGCATAATTTGCTCTGCAGTAAGGAACATTCCCTTGGCATACAGGATTCAACCCTGGGTGCAATGCTGGTGTCGCTTTGCCTTCTTGGGAGAGGCTCCTAATCCAGAATCCAGAGCCCTGGAGAAATGTTAGGGATCCCCTTTCCAAGTTCCCAGTTCTGTCCCTATTTCATAGGTTCCAGCTGTCTCTTCTCATTCACAGTCAGGGAACAAAGAGGCCTAGGGACCCAGGTTAGCTCCCTTTCTCACCTTGGGGGGAATTGGAATGTGGATATTCAATTCCCCAAACAAGGTATCCGGCCTGACTTTGACAGTGAGGGGATGTTTAAAGGTCCCCTTGGAGGTAGGACAGGACTGGATCAGTCCTCATATGAATCCAGACAAATATTTCTCTCACTTGGACCACTGCTTCCTCTTTCTCTCTGCTAATCCATGTTTATCTTCTTTCAAATCTTGAGTTGAAATCTTTCCTCTTTCAGAAGCCTTTCCTGATTAATCCTATCTCTCTGATTGTTCTTTTACTGAATCTACCTCTTCCAAATCTTTTCCTTCCTTCCCCAACCATGCCAGTATATGCTAGTACAAGTTCCTCATGGAGGGTCAAGTTCAACCCATGTCACTGGCGGAATGGTACATTCTCAGGAAATAATGCTAGCCCTACTTGGGAGGAGCCAGGTCCTGGACCTGGGAGGACTAGAGTCTGTTTTAAGAGTCCTCAAGACATACATTCTTATCCTGGCTCTGACACTAGTTTGATGTGTAGCCTTAGCAGGGCATATTCCTTTTTTGGGGGTCTCTCCAAGCCTCAGTTTCCCCCTCTGTAAAATGATGCGTAGACCAGATGATCCTCAGGGTGCCTTCTCACCTTGAACCACCTATGGTTTTATGGTCCTAGGACAAGAAGGGCCTCCAATCCACGGGGAAGAAAGAGAGTATAGAGTATCCTGAGACCCAGAAGGAAATGGACACTCCCAGGAAAGTTAACCTCTGTTTACCAATTACATCCTGATGAATGATTCTGGGGAACTCTGATTTTGTAAGGCACAAGAGCCGGCTGGTTTGGCGCCTCCTGGTCAGGACAGAAATTCTAGGAGCCTGTAACCTTAAGAACTCCTGGAGATACCTAGGTTTCATAATCAAACCTCAGCCTGCTGTGCTAGGTACAGCTGACACAGCAGTTGACTGAACCACAGTGGGGAGGAGGGATTTGCTGCAGCAGGCTAGGTGGAGTGGCTGCCGGAAGAGGGGGGGATTGCAGGTGTGGTGCGTGCCTTCCCTACTTTCCTTAAAATGAAGGTGGTGAGGTGTGCATTCTAAAGAGCACCCCATTAAAGGCAGAGAGCAGCAGAGGCCTGAAAGGCAGAGAACAAAGAGGACAAATAGATCTAATCAATTTGTAATGGTGGTCTGGAGCATTTATTGAAAAAGGACCTTGAACCTGCATTATGGATCAGTGACAGAGTTCTGTGATTGATTGGTGATGTCTGCCTAGTTATCATTTTGGATGAGAGTCTGGTTCAGTTTCTTAGAATTATGAAGGAGTCTGCCAGGGATAGGTTATCCCACTCTGCAACTGAATATACCAGTTCTTTTCCATCCTCCCCACCTAGGCTCCAGGAGTGATCAGGCATTTAATCTCCCCTTCCTTTATAAATGGCACCCTTTGAGAAGACAGAATTACCCAACCTAGAAACAGAAACACTACTAGAACTCCTGATGTGAAAGAAGTAGGGGTCCTGGGCACAAATTCTAACCCTCTACCTCCAAGCTACTACCCCAGCAAGCTACTTATCCTCTCTGAACCTATTTATGAAAGAGATATAATAACCACCTTTTTGGTTTTCTGCCAAGATCAAATGAATATAAGTACATATAATGCTAATTACTTTTATTATAATTACGTACTTTTTCATCCACTCCAGATTTGGAACTGCTTTTGAAATTTGCTGAGAGAGCTGGGATTGCTGATGATGTGGCCCCACCGAAATCAGGCTCACTTACACTAAATAAGCCTTTGAGTAAGAAAATTAGACTTTTGTATTACTAGATAGGGTTAGTTTCTTGCAAAGTCAGGAGAAGTAAAGGAGAGGACTGCATAGAAGTTAGAATTGTGTGTGTGTGTGTGTGTGTGTGTGTGTGTGTGTGTGTGTGTGTGTGTATGTGTTTGTATGTTTTGAGGGGCAGCATGTATTTTCTCATTGGCATTCCATAATCATTCTAAGAGGTTGGCATTGCTTTTCCCAATTAACACTTGTGGAAACTGATGCTTAGGAAATTTCACTTCATGTTGCTTGTAAGTGAAAGTACTAAGATTCAAAAGCAGTTCTATCTGACTCCAGTGCCCGTATTTTTGGGGAAAAGGGAGGTATGGAAATAAAGGAGGAAAGACAAAGGAAGAAAAAAGGAGAGGGGAGGTCACAGACTAAGTTGGTACCTGCTATAGCCCATCTGTCCACACGCTGTCTTGGCCAGAGCTTCTGTGAAGTTGTCAAAACAGGCAGAAAACCAGTTCCCTGTGACTGGGTCTAGCACCTGCAGGGTGGATCGATCCTTGGAGAGGCGGACTAAGAGGAAAGGAACCTGGGTCAGCTGGAGGGTGGGGACTATCTGACCCATCCCCCTCAGAATTTATTATGAGACCTTCCCAAACTTGCCCCCAGGAAATGGGGTGTATCACAGGGCACTTTCAACATCAAGGGAAGTACTTCCATTTGACTTTGTCTGTTTGAGCCTCGTTTTGATGGTAGTTGGTAATTAAATGTCCTAGGTCCAATCTCTATGTTGATCTGTTGCCCTTGCACAATGATTAATAGCACCCCCTTTTGTTCTAACAGTTATTGGTTTTGATGATAAATGATCAGGTATAGGTTTTTATGATAAATGATGTGGACACTCTACCCATGGTCCACACAACTTGCCCAGCCTGGGGAAAGTTTTCAGAGAAGGATCTAAGTCCTTCCCTATGTGGGGCCAGAGAGGGAGGTTGAGTGAGAAGTCCTATTGGCAGCTGGATGGCAGGCGCCCATTGGCATTTGACTTCTGATAAAGTCACTCAGCTCTCCCCCTCAAAAGCTTTGTCACTCATCTCCTGGGCTATCATTTTCTCTTCAGAGTTCAAGTACCAAGGTGGGCTAGCCCAGACCAAGAAAGGACATGGTTTTTATGCTTGAAACACTTCATATTTCTTTGAAGAATTTTGTGCAGTCCTGTTACACAGCATGTTACAATAAATACTAATGAATGGAAGGACCAATCACTGACTAAATGGCCATATAGTCTCTTTTCTAGTTCCCTGGAAATAGTAACTTTCACAGAAAGGAGGAACTCCTCAAGGTTATCCAATCTAGTCCTCTGCCTCAAATCTATCCAGGTGCAGCAGGAAAGGGGCAGGTGCAATGGACAGTGTCCCCTCTGGTCCACATGTGTTCCATCTATGAATGACTGTTTGTTAAGTGTTAAGACACAGTCCTGCTGACAATAAGTAGGAAGATGCTATATAGTGCACTCGGGGGCCTGAGCAGATTTCCTGCTGTGCCCACTCCTCTGGTCCCTCCGCCCCTGGACTCACCTGCCACTGCAGGCCCTTCGGGGAAACTCTTGACACAGTGCTCTTCGTCCTCCCCCAAGGCACAGTTCAGCTCTCCATCACACAACTGATTCCTTGGGATGAAGTGGAAGGGCTGCCCGCAGAGGAAGTAGTATTTATCCAAAATCACCTTGACTAGAAGGCAAGCGCAGGGATGGGGCAGAGAGGGCTCTGAGGAACAGAAAGGCAGCCTGGGCTAGAAGAGGCTGCATCTTTCTGAAGATAGAGCTGGTTCAGCTCTGCCACTTGGTAGCAGACAGATTTGGTCCTGAGCCTCAGCTTCCTTATCTGTAAAGTGGAGATGATAACACTGGCCCCACGCCTGCAAGATAGCTGAAGAATCAAAAGTGATAACATGTGGGGGAGAAATTGAGAAACAGGCCCCAGCAGCTTCTTACCCCCAAGTGCTTGCTCAGTGCTCTCTGGTGATGGAGGAGAAGACAGGATGGGGACATGGAGTCCGAAGATGCAGTTCTGAGTCCTGACTCTGCCACCTATCGTGCAACTTTACACCAATCACGTCCCCTTCCCAGTCCTCAGTTTCCTCATCTGCACAATGGGATGATAATACCGACCTCATGGGGTTGAGAACATGTGGCAAGCTGGTCATTGTGGAAGTGCCTTGTAACTGTCAAGTGCGTTTCTAGAGCTGGGTGCTTGTGTCTGGGTGAGAGACCCAGGAAGAGGTTGGCGTTTTGTTTTGTTTTGTTTTCCGCCTGCTGCCTGTAGAGTCTGCCAGCTGCCTTCAAATTCTGTTGCTCCTTTGCCATCTTGGGCCAGTGGGGATCTGTTCAGTGTTTTTAACCCCTCGGGGAATAAATCTTTGAAGACTTTTCCTTGGTGAGGACTCGAAGTCAAGCACCCCTGGCAAGACGGAACTCTTCCTTCCTTACTAAACCTTGTCTTAGCCTATTGCCTCTCTCCAGTCTAGTATCACCCGTGGCTGCTGGCAATAAATCTAAATAGGCCACAACTATCACCATATGAGGAGCTTTCCATGTGTTTTCTCATGTCATACTGACAACAACCTTAGGAGGCAGGTGTCACTCTTAATTCACCTTACACATAGGGAAACTGAGTACTAAAGCATCAGAGTTTATTTCCCAAGGCCATACGGTGCTTTGAGGGTACAGCCAGGGTCTAACTCCTGAAGGTGTTTGAGTTGTGATCCGCTGTCCCTGATGTTTCTGGTTTGAGTGAAGCAAGGGAGAAGAAGGAGGTCAGATATGACCTAGATCTTCGGAGTTTGGTTCCTGGTCAGAAGCCAGGGTAAGGCAGAATCACCCCAGCCTCCTGGGACAAAGCCAGAAGATAGTGTCACCGTTGGGACAAAAAATGTTGAAGGAGGCTAGCCAAGGATGGAGGACTGGCTACCACCGCTGGCTGCAGAATCTGGGGGCCCCAGGCATGAAGCCACTCAGGACCTTCTGTGACAGGGTGTGCCCTGCTATAGATGATGCTCTAATGCCTGCCTGGTTTTCCCTGAATAAATGTGACTCCTCCTTTCTTCCACTGTGGCAGGGCACACGCTCAGGGAAATCAAGCTCACTTTAATATTAGTCTAAAGAAAACAGGATGGCAAGACTGCTGATGTCACTGCAAAACCACCATCCTGTCGGGTCGACGGAGGGCAAGAAGAAATGATTTGGATTTTTCTGCATCTCATACCCATCCAGGGCTCTTGGAGATGTGGGTAGTGTTTATGTTGTGGATCTGTGTTTCCACTGCCACGAGATGGAAATGAACCCGCTCAATCTGGGGACAGGAGTCCTGTCCAGCTCGTCCCTGACTGTCCCGACTCCTCTCTAAGCCTCAGTGCTCCTGTAGAAAGAGGGGTTGAAACTGGTGATCTCTGTGTGTCCTTAATAAAGCAGTGGCTGCTACTGGTGGAAATATGAACATGGTTACAAATGTGGGCTCCTGAAAGGTCAGCTATGCCTCGGCTGCACAGACAGTCCTGCCCCCGTTAGAAAATGCATGTCCTGGGTCACATCTCTGCATGCTGCATGGTGTCACTGTCTTTTGCAAAACCTGGCTTTTATCCAGGTTCATTACACACGTGATCTCTCTGGTGCTCATGATTTGCTGTGAGGGAAGCAGGACATTTTACAGGTGAGGAGACTGAAGTTAAGAGATATGGAAGGATTTAAGGTCACAGGGCAGCAAGTGGCAGAGCCAGGAGCCCCATTCCAGGTGTCTTGTTTCCTAGTCTGCTCCCCGGGGCCCTATTCCCTGCTGTGAAAGCTGTGGTCAGTAACCTGCTGTGCTTGCGGGGTTAATAAAGGCAATGACTCAGTCACAGGATGTGGGACCCACATCACAGTACTGCCCACTCATTTTAATCTTGTCACAGGTAAGAGCCTGAGGCAGAGTGGCCTGCTTAAGATGACACTGGGGGCTGGGCATGGTGGCTCACACCTGTAATTCCCTCACTGTTGGAGGATGAAATGGAAGGAATGCTTGAGCCCTGGAATTTGAAACCAGCCTGGGCAACATATGAGACTTTGTCTCTACAAAAAAATTAAAAAATTAGCTGGTGTGGTGGTGCATGCCCGTAGTCCCAGCTACTTGAGAGGCTGAGGAAAGAGGATCACTGGAGCCCGGGAGACCGACCAAGGCTGTGGTGAGCTGTGATCATGCCACTGCCCTCCAACTGGCAACAGAATGAGACCCTAACTCACACACACACACACACAAAAATCCACAAAGACAAGATCACACTGGGGCTCAGATACTGGCTGGGATGATGAAGATGGAGCCTAAGGCGAGGGGAAGGGAGAAAGGGGGTCTGGGCTGTCTTCCCCAGAAGACCTCACAAGCAGAAATGCTCCCTGTTCTTCCTGCCGCTAGGGCTGCTCAGATTCCCTCCACTCTCAATCTGCAGGAGATGAAGAGAGAGGTGGGGGGCGTGGCTGCCCCTGCAAATTGCCTGTGTGGGTTTGGAACATAAGCTACTGTGCTCTCCCAAGAGAAGAAATCATCTGGGATAGACGCCATCTGGGAAAGATGGGGGCTGAGTTCATCTCCCCCTTTTCCTCTTAGAGGAAGGCTCCTTTTAAAGCAGGAGGTAGAAACATGTGGATCCATACTTTTCTCTTCAAAGCTTTCTGCAGATCACCTGCCCATGACTGTGGGGGCTGAAAGGGCTGCCGCTTACTGAGGGAGTGAGGACAGAGGTGGGGCTGCCACTTACTGAGTGGTTGAGGGCAGAGATGGGGCTGTCACTTACTGAGGGGATGAGAGCAGGTGGGCTGTCACTTATTGAGGGGGTGAGAGCGGGTGGGGCTGTCACTTTCTGAGGAGGTGAGGGTGGGTGGGAGCTGTCACTTACTGATGACAACCACAATGACGATAGCCACCAGGCTCAGCAGTGCCGCGATGATGGGGACCCCCACCTTTCTGAAGTTCTCCAGGGGGGCACGGGGTTTGCGCAGGGGGGTGACATCTGCAAGGAGATGTGAGGCAGAGGGGAAGAGCACGCAGTCAGCACTTGGGGACCACTCTGCCAAGGCCCACAGCTCCCACCCTCTGGCCTGCAGCAAGAATGCCTTGGCAGCCAGGCTTGGTGGCTCAGCCTGTAATCCCGCACCTTTGGGAGGCTGAGGTGAGTGG